CTCAAGTGGTAGAGCGCTCGCCTTGAGCTGAAGAGCTGAGGGACAGGGCCCAGGCCCAGAGTTCAGACCCCACGACCAGACCCAAAAAAAAAAAAAAAAAAGCTCAGAGATAGCGTCCAGGCCATAAATTCAAGCCCCATGAACAACAAAAAAATATATACTATATAATATACACATAATACATTTTACTCCTTTTCCTAAAACCAATTTGAATATAAAATTTAAGTTCCTAAATAATAAAAAAATTTAACCACTAAGTCCGTTTTATATCATGTATTGATTAGCTTTGTAGTAATTCTAATTTATAGTTTCTGAAGACTTCCATCCTCCGCTCAACTAATCAAAACTTACAGAAACATAAGACACTGGAATATGTACAATTAAATAGAATAGTAAAAAATTACTTTACATTTTCACATGTAACATATATCATAAAATATACATACTTGTTCTATTCATGTAAAAGAGCAGAAATTTACTTACTTTTTGAGACTAAACATCAAAATGTAGAAACGACTTCTTCTTTAGCAAGAAAACCCACCAAGCAACATAGGCTACAACCAAAATTTGCAAAGCAATGATTTTCTTGGTTCAAGTCATGGGACTTGAACTCTGGGCCTGGACGCTGTCCCTCAGCTCTTCAGCTCAAGGCTGATGTCCTACCACTTGCGCCACAGCGCCACTTCCGGTTTTCTGGTGATTCATTGGAGATAAGAGTCTCACGGACTTTTCTGCCCAGGCTGGCTTTGAACCTCCATCCTCAGATATCAGCCTTCTGAGTAGGTAGGATTACAGGTGTGAGCCACCGGTGCCCGGCTCTTAGCTCTTTATTCATAAAGCTGCATCTTTGCATCATATAAAATTATTGAAGCTCTAAACGTCTACATTATACATAATTCTTGTTAAACCTTATATCTCTAAGAACATCTGAGTATCTTATAATATGTAAAAATTTTTCCTCAGAGGAAATGTAAGAAATGCTAACGAGCTGCAGGGTGAACATACTTACCTGTGTGCTTCCTTCTGTGTATTTATTCTCTATGTGACACCCCACTGTATCATTTATAAAATTGAACTCACCTCTGCTGGATGCTGAATTATGTACAGGTGAGTGGAGATGCTGAGAGGATGTGCTGGGAGAAATGGACACAAACACACCTTAAGAGGCCGGCTGAAGAGTAAGAAAAAGAAGAAACTTGTAAGCTGTAAAATACAATGGCAAAACAACATCCATTTATGGCCCAAGATGGTCAACTCAAACTCAGTATTTGTTACCTTCACTCACTGGCTGGCATTCCAGCAACTGACCACACCTCCAATGCCCAAAACAATAGCCTGGCACTTGAACATAATTCAACTTCATTAAAGAAGTTTGACAAATGAATTCTTTCAAAATGAAACACCAAGAAGAAATGTCATCAATCGCACTTCAGACATAAAAATGCAGGAAGCTGCCTTCCTAGTGTGGCCTTTGTAGGATTCCAGAGTGGCCTGCGCGGCCAGAGCCAAAGGTGCACAAGGTGACGGGCAGCTCATCAACCTCACCTTCAGAAATTTACAAAGTAGACCTGGAATTCAGATGCAGCTCTGGGCTATGTAGTCAGATCTGTCTCGAAATAAAGAGCTCGTATCAATAAGAAGCTTCGTGGGCTGGGTACGTAACTCTGTGACAGAGCACTTGTTTAGTCTGCACAAGGCCTGGGTTCAATCTCCAATACAGAAAGAAAAGAATGAAAGAGAGGGAGGGAAGAAAGGGAGGGAAAAGAGGCAGGGAGAGGGATTAAAAAAAAAGAAGGGAGAAAAAAAAAGGAAGAGGGAGAAGGAGAAAAAGAAATCTGGCAATTCCCCTATATCATTAGAAGTTGCAGAGAACAATGAGATGTTAGGATGTAATTGCCACCTAAAGTAGTCTAACAAATTCAGCCATCAGTTAAGACAAAGAGTTTATCATCTGTGTGAAGAAGCGGAAACAGTGGCCACTACTTACGTTTGCCCAGAACTATATCCACAATATGCACTACTCACTTATTTCCCCCTTTGGAATATTATAACTTTGTGGGGTTTTTTGTTGTTGTTTTTCTGGTCCTGGGGCTTGAACAGCATGTGGGTGCTGTCCCTGAGCTTCTTTTGCTCAAGGTGCGCTCTACCACTGGAGCCACAGCGCCACTTCCAGTTCTTTTGAGTAGTTTACTGGAGATAACTGTCTCTGACTTGGAACTATATCCTTAGATCTCAGCCTCCTGAGTAGCTAGGCTGTACAGGTGTGAGCCACGTAGGCCCAGAGACTTTATGGCTTTATCTTGCTTTTTCATAGTTTCTATTTGTTTGTTTATTTGAGACAGAGTCTCACTAGGTAGTCCAGACTGGGCTTTAAACTCTACCTGCTCACCTCCCGAGGTGTGCATTGCCATGCCTGGCTTTCTTTACTATGGTACACAGCACAGGATTAAGACCAAATTTTAGAAATACACTTTATTTTCTTGTCCCTTAAAGGAGTCCCAAATCTCTTCCTCCATTTACTTCACTGCACTGTTCCCGCTTCCCCCACAATCTTTCCAATATGCTTTCAAAAGCAACATAAACTCAGTAAGGAGAAACATCAATTCCTAGCAGTGCTTCCTCAACTCTTCTCTTCCAACTGCCAAGTTAAGGAGCCACCAAGCGAATGAGGATTGAACACAAGCAGGTGGAAGTTTCTGAAGCGAGAGACCTCACACACGACAGTCCTTAAAACTGCTCATCTCAAGACAAGCAGACATCGTCGGGCAAAAGGAAAAGGAAAGCAAGCTATGGATTAAAAAGTGTAAAGAAATTACTGCCCTGCGTCTCAAGAACTTCCGTATGCCAAGTAAAATAAAGACAGTCACACTGATCATTTATATAGCTCATTATTATGTGTCGTAGCAAAACAGAAAATCTAGAGTACCTCTGCCTCTTAAGAGTACCTGGCCTTGATATGCTGCAAAAAGCACAACTTAAAATCACTAACCACCTTACGTATTAAATGAAAATATACGAGTAAAAGCACTTTGTAACTTGTGAATTCTCTTTAGATAACAAATTTTAAACGAGATTTCTTGAATATATTATCTACACCCATAAGGACCAGAACTGTGAATTATTGATTTAGGGCAAATAAACTTACAGAATTAATGTGCTTTGATGTTCTTTGAAGAAACTTCTATCAGAGGGTTATATTTTTCTTGGGGAAAATAAACCAAACATTTAGAAAGTTCTACAAATTCTAATGGAGACTTGAGATTAAAGAAAACTTCCCTCATTGTCATCTATGCTCAACTTTGAACATATGACCAGCCTGCACGGTGATTTAGATCACTTAGTTTAGCACGGGTAGGAGTGAAGTGCTTCAAAGAATAAACACTCTCTTTAAATAGGAAAGAACAACTTAAAATCTTTCTCTTAAGAATATATTCTTGAAATGCAAAAAAAAGGTCATTTTCAGAATCCTTAAGTTTTCACTCTAAAAAATACCCAATAATTGATTGATTTCAAGTTTACAGAAAGTTTGTGTGATAATGTTAAATGTTGCCACCAGTTCAACAGTTACAACAGTTCCAAACTGACTGTCCTGAGAAGAACCATTTTTCACACCTCCCTACAACACTGGTTATCACTCAGACCAGCCACAAGGGTGTTCGTGAGACCCCGGATGGAGACACCAGCACCTGTGCAAGGCTGGCACATGCACTGCGCTGACCACACATGGGCTAAGCAGAATGACTGCAAGCTGTGCAGACCTGTGGACCATGCTGTCTACACACACAGCCAGAACTCAGCTGAGAAGCCACTAGCTCCCCAAACATCTCCCACTCTCAACAGCAGAAACCTGAATTTTTGTAGAGTAGTTTTGATTCTTAGCTTTTTGCCACTAATTTAAAGGCTGGTATGAAACATTCATAATTGGGCCGAATGACTCACACCTGTAACCTAACTACTCAGAAGGCTGAGATCTGAAAGCTCAGTTAAAAGCCAGTCCAGGCAGAAAAGTTCATGAGACTCATCTCCAATTAACTACCAAAAAAGCCAGAAGTAGAACTGGTATTCAAGTGCTAGTGATAGACCTGAGCAGAAAAGCTCAAAGACAATACTGAGGCCCTGAGTTCAAGCCCCAGGACCAGCACAAAAAAAGGAAGGGAGGGAGAGAGGGAGGGAGGGAGGGAGGGAACTGATTTATGGGCTACAATAAAAGTTAAAAAAAAAAAACACTAACCAATATCAACAACTCTAGAAATGCACTGCAATAAAAAATAAATATAGAATATCAAGTACCTGGGCCTGGGCCTGAGAAGTCAAATTGAGTTTGCATTTCCTGAATAAACCCAATTCTAAAACTCTGTAGGCAGTAGCAATTACACTAATGTGTTCAAGAAATGAATACTTTGAGTAAATGGCCAAATAATTGTAACTTACTGATCTCACAAATCTAAGAATGCATTTTAAAAACTATAAGCTCAAAAAACAACCTGTAGCTGGGAAGGTGGCTCAGTGGTAGAGCTCTTGCCTTGCATGCATGAGGCTCTGGGTTCGATTCCTCAGCACCACATAAGCAAAAAGAAAAAAAAGCCAGAAGTGGCGCTGTGGCTCAAGTGGTACAGGGCCAACCTTGGGC